AGGTTTCAAAAGAGATGAGTTAATCCGAGAGCCCAGCCCAGGGCCCCCTTACGCAGTGCCCCGTTCCCAGGAGCTGCAAACATGTTCCCGAAAACAAGCTCTATCCGAGGTGAGCCACGCAAGCCACCAGCTGCTGGAAAACACCCTTGGCTTTGCCTTGGGGATGGTGGAGAGCTCCCGCTGGCATGTGTCTCTCCTCACCCCCCTTCCCGTTGCAGGCACAGCCATCTCCTCCATCCAGGGAGATGTTCTACGCGGGTCTTCCCAGGGGCAGCCCCTGAATTAAAAGCCTTTATTGCATAATTGCCCCGCTGAGGGAAGGGGCAGCAGACGTGGCACACCAGCAGCAGCCTCTCCTCTCTGCCCACCAGCCAACTAACGGCCTTCGCCCTTCCCCACCAGCACCAGCCGTGCCGCCTGGACGCTGCCTGCCTTCCAGCGGTCCCGCAGAGCCGGGCCTGGGAAGCAAAGCTTCCTGCTCCCTGGGGCTGTTCCAGCTCCCTGGGGCTGTTCCAGCTCCGGTCTCAAGCAAGCGAGCCAGGCTCTCTGCCAGCACGACCGCACAGAAACACGCCAGCCTCCCTCCTCCCAGAGACTCAGATTCCTTGGCAGCCAGCTCCTTTCCCCCTGGGCTTTTGTAGGAGGGCAAGGTGTTTCTCGTGGGAAGATAGCTTCCAACATCCCTCTGCCTGCTCACCTGCCAGCTGGCAAGGGAGCAGCGTGGAGGGAAAGCCCTTGCCAACACGAGGAGCACAAGGGAGCCCAGGTGGAGGGGAGCAACAAGCCAAAGAAGTGCTGCAATAGCCGCTGTGGGGGAGAGAGAGCAGGAGGGTGCTCCAAAGTGCACTTACCTTAAAACAGAGGCCGTTGCACTCTTCAGATACTATCACCAGTGTGGACGGGTAAAGCACCAAGAGTCGGTCATGCTGCTCCTTGGAAAGCAAAGAGGAAGAGGGTTCCCTGTGAACAGGCAGACAGGGTGCAGATCTGGAGAGCCCTTTACTTTGTCTCTCTGACAGCAGCCTGGGGCAAGGGCTCTGCAAACAGTGGAGCTGCTGCCCTGCAACAGGGTTCCACGGGAGATTCCTGCCAGCTCCAGCTGCCAGCCCTGTCCAGCTAATGCTTCTGCACGTGCTGTCCCCAAGCACCACTGCTGGAGCAGCAATAAACCTTTTTCTGTTTACTGGGATGTGGGTAAAAGGAACCTCCAGGGCCCCGTTGGGCTAGTGGCAGCAGGTAGGCAGGAGTCTG